CTGCTATGCCAGCATCACTATCTGCCTCACCACCTCCTAACATTACTGCCTCTGTTTTTTGATGTTCACTGCCCTCAGTAACACTTAATGTGAGGAAATGGTATGGTGATACCGACAAGATGTGGAAAAAGACCCTTATGTAAAGTTAAAGACATTTGTTAAAGGAAACGTTTTGCCATGAGTGGCTTCTTCAGTCCTAATTCAGAGAAAACTAAGAAAACACGTATATATATATAGTGGCAGGAGTCAGGTGAAATGTCGTGTGGATAGAGGTGGTAGTGGTGGTGGTGGTAGTAGTAGTAGTAGTAGTGGAGCTAAGGTGGTTGGATGGATGGCTACAGAGGGACCTGTTGATATCATGTTACAGCAGTTTCCAGAATGGGTAATATCCTGTTGATTAGCAATTTTGAGATACTGTAACTACCGGACTTTTGCTTTATAGTGTTACTGACAGCAATTAGGGCAGCTTCTATGCATTTCCTCCATCTTAAATCATCTTCTTTAATCACTAGTTTAGCCTCACTGAATTTCATGAGGTGTCCAACATCGTCCCTATGTTGAACACACGTTTTTACGGTCATCATTTCTGCAAGCATTTGTGTGTTCAATGATCTTAATGTCCAGAGATCTGGCTGTTTCCCCCACACATAAATTGTACTTTGTTACACCCCCCCTACATAGTATTGTGTAAATTCCTGCACCTGTGCCAGAATCATGCTTGGGTTTTTGTATCATGTTCCTAATAGTAGTTGATGAGCTGGTAGATATTTTAGCCAGTTTTCTGTCAAACATTTTTGAAACGTTAGTAACAACGTTGCTGACCAATAAAACTTGGAGGCTTTTGTTCAACTTGATTGGTGTTGGTCTTGTTGAGGGTACGTGTTGCACGTTTCCTCCAGTCACGTATGAAGTGTAGGGGAAAGTGTAGTGAACTAAAAGAATGGGTGATGTATGTGCATTCTTCTTCAAGGAACTGAGGACTGGAAATTCTGTAGGCTTTCAGAAAGAAGCCAATAACTACCCCTTTTTTAGTTCTGGTGTCATGGTGAGAGAAGAAATGTAGAAGATCGTTCTTGTAGGTAGGTTTACGGTAGACTTTAAAAGGAAGTCTGTTTTCACCAGTGAGTAGGAGAATGTCGAGAAAAGGTAATTGGTTGTCCTTCTCCTCCTCTAGTGTAAATTTAATATTAAGTTCCAAAGTGTTGATGGTGTTGAGAATGCCACTTACGTCTAGATTTTTGGGTACAATGATCAAAACATCATCAACGTACCGCATCCATGTAACTGACCTAGGGATGTTATTGAGAATCTGTCTGGATTCTAGGTCCTCCACATATAAATTGGCAAGTACTGGACTAAAGGGTGAGCCCATGGCTAGCCCAAACAGTTGTTTATACTTCATGTCTTCAAACCTAAAGCAGTTATAACAAACACAAAGTTCGACAAGGCTCACAAAATCTTGGTGAGGTACAGGTAACTTTATCATCGTTAATCACCATGCGAAGAAGATCAATGGCTTGATCAACTGGGACATTGGTAAATAAGGCAGTCATGTCGAAACTTGCAAGCTTCTTACCACTCATGTCGAGATACGTGACACGGTTAAAGAGGTTACCTGAATGCTTCAGGTGAGCCTGATTAATCGTACCCAGGAGTTTAGATAAATATTTCTCCAAAACTCCTGCCAGGCTGTGTGGGGTGCTGCTGATATCAACAGGTCCCTCTGTAGCCATCCGTCCCACCACCTTAGTTCCACTACTACTATCACCTCTATCCACGCGACACTTCACATGACTCCTGCCACTATATATATATATATATACGTACGTGTTTTCTTAGTTTTCTCTGTATTAGGATTGAAGAAGCCACTAGTGGCAAAACATTCCCTTTAACCCTTAAACGGTCCAAACGTATGTATACGTTCACGTGCGTAGCACCCCGAATATTTTGAGAAAAAAAAATAGTTTTTTTTTATAGGAAAAAGGAGCATTTGGTACCCAGGCATCCCCAATTTTTTCATATGGTGCACACTGAGTGCGCACACCCATTCTCTCATGTCTAGGCGACTCAGGTCTATCGTGCCAATGTTAAATGAATGACAAAGAAAACGTATATATACGTCTGGGGTGCTACGCGAGAGAACGTATATATATGTTTGGACCGTTTAAGGGTTAACATAAATGCCCTGAACTGTACAACAGTGTCTTTTTCCACAACATTTACTGTATTTACCACATTTTGAGCTGTAGCTACAAGCATCAATAATAAGTTGAAGGAGGGAAATTACTAAAGAAGCAAATTCTATTTTTAAAATGTACATAAATTTTACAGTATGTATTAGGTGACATTATTTCACACATTTTGAAAAGCACTTGGTTGTGCAGAGCATTTTGGAAAGATTGAAACTAGAATTTAAAACTATTTTGATATTTTATAGTTGCATAGTTAGTTAGATTATTTCAATGCTAAATTGAATATAATGGAGTTTTCTGAAGAAAGGATTATTAAATGTAATGATTATTTTAAGTAACTAATCTGTATATTAAAATAACAATGTAATTGTGTAAAGGTAATAAAACAAACTGTTTTCACTTTTAGTTATAATAATAATTGGGGTAGAAATACAGTAGCAACAGTATGAATGCTGATTAAAATCTGGATAAGTAGATTTCACTAGATGTACCTGACATTTATATTTGATCTACATAAATGTACATCAAATTCAGGAGGTCTCTGCTAACAATCTTTTTGAAGTAGTTGGCAGATAGGGATCCTCCAGAGTCATCTGTAAAGTTTCATATTTTTGAGCCTTTTATTTACCTGGAAAGTGTTCAGAGGGCCAATATCCCATGGCTTGGTCCTAGACCAGGCCTTCTGGTGCATGACCTGATTGATCAGTCTGTTGGTACTGGCTACATGTAGTCCAACTTATGCACCACAGCCTGGTTTGTCAGGAACTCACTTGAGGAACTTGTCTATTTCCTCTCTTGAAGACACCAGGGGTTTGTTGGTAATCCCCCTTATGTATATAAGGAGGGTATAGAAAAGTCTTGGTCCTTTCACACTTATTGAGTTTTCCCTTAGTATACTTGCTTTTCATTGAGGTATTTGGCACAGTCTGATGAACCTCTTACTTTCGTGGGGAATGATTCGAGTGGGCAGATTTGGGATCGACCCCTCCAGAATTTGCCAGGTGCAGATTACAATGCATTTCTTTCACCTACATTCCCAGGAGAATGACTCAGGGGCTTCAAGCGTTCCCAGTAATTTAGGTGCTTGACTGAACTTACATTGCATGGAGTTTCTACTCAGGTCAAGCCAAACATGTGGGATGTCAAAGATAATGTATTTGTTTCTTGTATTGTGTTTATGCAACCCATTGCAGCTCTCCAAGAAAAGTTGTAGGACTGAGTTAACATTTGTATTAAGTGTATTGTATATTACAGTATACATGGTGAGTGTAGATGTTTTGTATGTTAAGTAAATTGAAACTTTTAAATAGTAGAAGTGTGTGTTGCCTGGAACCTGATTGAAAGATCATTCTAATAGATTTTGTTGAGTTACAGTGGGTTTTAGGTAATTTGTTGTTTTAGATTACCATGCACATATGTATACCACAAGTGATGCAAGAATAGATTAGAGTGTAGTGCAATGAGTAATGTTGTTTGAGGTACATAATACATTTTTAAAAGAGCTCCTCTGTTTTTTAAATTTTTATGTGTTATGTGCTGGCTGTGTGTTGAATTTTAACAGACCATTAGGAAAGAGGTGATGTCTGATAATACAGATTGTGCAGTAATGCAAAATAATGCTAGAAGATTGCTTAAAGCGCACTTTCTCTACTGTGTACATAATACAGTACTGTACACACAATTTAGATAAAATAAACATGTAGAGTAAAGGACATTAAAGTACAGTAATTTTATTTACCTATGTGGTGGACAGATGAGACTGTTTGGCCATGATCATATAGTCATGAAATGTAATTTATATTTTAATAGAAATATTTGAAGTTTAAAGGGGAATCTGAACTGTAGTGTCTGTGCACCTTTGGCAAAGAATTGATGGAATGAATGATGGTGGAAGTGTTTCTTTTTTGGGTAACCCTACCTCAGTGGGAGATGGCCAATATATTTAAAAAAAAAAAAAAAAGTAAATTCTGTTAAAACAAAAGAACAAATGATGGCTCTCTACTTCTGAATTTGCAGGCAGTTACAAACCAAGTTACCACCTAGCAGCCACTCCCCAAACTAACAAAAATGGATAATTCTGTCTTTTGTTTCTGAAATTCATTAAACAGAGATCCTTAAATCAAAGTTTTACTCTGCCTAAGAATTTCCCCTCATTTTGTTTTTCATTGTGTATGTATTACTATATATACCTTTATGTTCATTTGAACACTTCAGATTTATTCCCAAACACTGTGTATAAGGTCTTAACACTATTGAATGAGTTTATTGGTTGTCATATAAGACGATATCTGTACAGCTTCACTATTAATGCTATTGTTGAGGACAGTCGGGTCTCAATTTGTGATGACAAAAGTTGTATCATCTGCAAAGAGAATTGGCTTAAGTCCCTGTGAGGCACTAAGTAAAACTCATGGCAAGTGAGTCGTAAAATGACTCATTTGCCATGAGTTCTAACCCCACCCATACCGTGGTTTCTTTACCTCTTAAGAACTTCACCTTCCCAACCCATTCCTTGAACGTCACTATCTCCACCCATCCATCCACCCCAGATTTACCTTAATCAACCAAACTTGCCCCATAGGGTTATGAGGTTATGAATGTAATATGAAAGTAATTTATTTATGCCAGTGTATGTACAGTATATACTGTATTACCCTATTATTTATGCCCAGTGTTTGGATTAATAACAATGGTGCACAAGCTTAAAAAGAGCCTATACACCTTGCCCATAAAATGAAGAGGGTTTACTGTATTTATGCTTTGTGTTTAAACATTTCCTGATCTTATCTGATAATATTACTGGCACAGGGTAGTATTCAGAGATGAAGGTCGTGCACATCTCCTGGTTGAGGGCATCAAGATGTATCAGTTGGATATTGATGGCCCTGACGAGTTCACCCAGAAAATTGAAGACACATCGGTAATTAATTGGCTGTTGTTTATTTACTGTAACTACTTATATTGTGTTTATCATTATTTTATGTAAAATTCCATATTTCAGAGCTTCATATCTGTTCATTTTACTCATTAATTTATCTGTAGGACTACAGTACTTTTTCCTCTCTCATGCATAGCTCATGTCTAGAGATTATTTAATTATTATTATTATATTTATGGGTAATTACTAAACTTATAGGGGACATGTGTGCCTGTGGAATAAGAGGTAATCAGGTGTGGCCTTCAATTGAGAGTCCTTCACTTGCATCAGGACACCCCTCTTGAAGGGGATTTTTTATTTAATAATTTAATGCTTGGAGTACATTTTTAATAGCTTGGTTATATGAGAATGAATGCAGAAGGTTCAAGAAACTTATGCCCTTTCAAATTGTTTGGATTGTTTACTCTGAATGTGGTGGTACTGAGTAGTTTATATAGTTGTACTAGAGTACATTACTGGGTACAGAGTTGGGTTACTTACTATTTTTTTTCTTTTTGTAAGATATATATTATAAGGGAAGGGGGACAAAAGAGATTGTAAAATTATAGGGGAATAAGTTTACTGAGTATACCAGGAAAAGTGTACGGTAGGGTTATTATAGAAAGAATTAAAGGTAAGACAGAGAGAAGCATTGCAGATGAGCAAGGAGGCTTTAGAGTGGGTAAGGGATGTATAGATCAAGTGTTTACATTGAAGCATATATGTGAACAGTATATAGATAAAGGAAGGGAAGTTTTCACTGCATTTATGGATTTAGAAAAGGCATATGATAGATTAGATAGGGGAGCAATGTGGCAGATGTTGCAAGTGTATGGAATAGGTAGTAAGTTACTAAATGCTGTAAAGAGTTTTTATGAGGATAGTGAGGCTCAGGTTAGGGTGTGTAGAAGAGAGGGAGATTACTTCTCAGTAAAAGTAGGTTTTAGACAGGGAAGTGTAATGTCACCATGGTTGTTTAATATATTTATAGGTGAGGTTGTAAAAGAAGTAAATGCTAGGGTGTTGGGGAGAAGGGTAGGATTAAATTATGGGGAATCAAATACAAAATGGGAGTTGACACAGTTACTTTTTGTTGATGATACTGTGCTTTTGGGTGATTATAAAGAAAAGTTACGAAGGTTAGTGGATGAGTTTCGGTGGGTGTGTAAAGGTAGAAAGTTGAAAGCGAATATAGATAAGATTAAGGTGATGAGGGATATCAAACAATTTAGATAGAGAGAAATTGGATATCACATAGGAGAGAGGGAGTATGGAAGAAGTGAATGTTTTCAGATAAACCCTTCATAAACCCATCTGTTGACTTGTCAATGGATGGGTTTATGAAGGATGAGGTTAACCATAGAATTGATGAAGGGAAAAAGATGAGTGGTGCATTGAGGTATCTGTAGAGACAAAAAACTTTATCAATGGAGGCAAAGAAGGGAATGTACAAAAGTATAGTGGTACCAACACTTATATGGGTGTGTAAATGCTGCAGCAAGGAGGCAGCTGGAGCCAGTGGAGATGTTCTGTTTTAAGGGCAATGTGTGGTGTAAATATTATACAGAGAATTCGTAGTGTGGAAATTAGGAGGAGGTGTGGTATTACTAAACCCTAAACAGTCCGAACATATATATACGTTCTTACCGCTAGCGCAACAAACATATACATGTATATATGTTTTATTTTTCCTGCCTCCAAATTTGGCACGATTGGCCTGAGATGCCTAGGCAGCATAGAATGGGTCTTAACACTCGGTGTGCACCGTATTAAGAAAATATGAGACCACTTAGTACCTTGTGGGAGTGCCAGTTAAATTGAGCACCAGCTAGAGCAAACAGTGCGGCAAACACCGAGGATTCACTGATGTAATGTCATATTAACACTCCCCTTTTAAGAGGAAAGTGATATTAACCCCAAGTTTAGGGTCTGTCTGTCTGTCTGTCTCTATCTCTGTCTCTGTCTATCTGTCTCTCATCTCTCTATATCTGTCTCACAGATACACACAAATACAATTATACATAGTGTAAATTACCTAGGATAACCTAAAAAAATCCAAAGTGCTATACTGTGCTTGTAGATATCATGCATAAGAATACCTGTTGGTTCACAGTGGCTCTCTCTGAGACAGAGAGAGAGACAAGCAGACAGAGAGACAACACAGAGAGACAAATAATCAGAGACAGAGATACAAGCTCATCAAATGTCACCCCTTATCTTATCACTGCACCCTTGTTGGTGCCCATCAAATGTCATCCCTTATCTCATCTTATCACTGCCCTCCCGGATGCTTGTCACTGACACTTGTCTTACACATTGCTTCAAGGGAACTTCTTTCTTCTTCTTCTGTACTCTCGTGTATCCAAAACACTGCTGGGACCTTTAAATACTTTGCATATATCTTGTATATAGGTATAAATGTCCACCTGTCAATGTGTTTGTGACAATTTGGGTACAATTTCAGTACCTAATATTAGTGTCAGAACAAAGATTGGTCATGAAATGACAAGAACTACAATAAATTGTAATTATCAGAACATAAAAATTATATAAAATAATATAAAAATGAGAAAAAAAGGTATATCGGCAACACTTCTGCAAGTGGCAGGACTCGATGTTGCCATCAGGTGAGCATTAAGTGCCAACTTTGCAGCCTCATATCTTGGTAAGTACTGACCCTAATTTTTTATTTTAATCCTGTAACACTTAAAAAATTTTCTCTTTATTTCAATGAAAAAAAAAACGATTTAATTATTTTTCAAAATATTTGGGACACTGGGCGAGAGAACATATATATACATTTGGACCGTTTAGGGGCTAATAGTAGTAGTCAGAGGGCTGAAGATGGGTTGTTGAGGTGGTTTGGTCCTTTAGAGAGAATGGAACAATGTAGAATGACTTGGAGAACATATAAATCTGTAGGGGAAGGAAGGCGGGGTAGGGGTCGTCCTCGAAAAGGTTGGAGGAACGGGGACAAGGAAGTTTTGTGAGTGAGGGGCTTGGATTTCCAGCAAGCATGCATTAGCGTGTTAGATAGGAGTGAATGGAGATGAATGGTTTTTGGGACCTGATGAGCTGTTGGAGTGTGAGCAGGGTAATATTTTGTGAAGGGATTCAAGGAAACTGGTTAGCCAGACCTGAGTCCTGGAAATGGGAAATACAATGCCTTCACTTTATTGGCAGTTTGGAGTGACTACCTAAGTTGTCATATCTGGGCACCTCTGCAAAGACAGTGATTATGTATGAGTGATGGCAGAAGTGTTGAATGGTAATGAAAGTTTTTTCTTTCTGTTTGGGTTTTTCTTTCTTTTGGGTTACCCTGCCTTGGTGGAGAAATGGCCAAAGTGTTAAAAGGAAAAATGTATTATGACCAACAGTTCTATATAAGAAACCATCACAAGTATTATTACCAGCAGTTACACATGTTTTCAATAAATCACTTGATTTAGAAACTTTTCCAGCATTCTTAAAACAGCTAGAGTAACTCAAAGCTGTAAACATGGAAATCTCTCTGATATTTATAACTGTAGACCAATTTCAAATCTATCAGTATTGTCAAAAGTATATAAACTAATATTTTCATATACAGCCAAACATAAAATTCTCTTGCCTTGCTGGTATGTATTCAGACCCCAAAAGAGTATAAACAATGTAATAATTAAAATACTAGACATAATTTATACAGCACTTGATAAAAATGAATACCCAGTTGTCATATTTATTGACCTACAGAAGGCCTTGGACACAACTGATCACAGTAACCTCCTCCTGAAACTGAAGCATTATAGAGTCAGAGGTAGCTCATATAACTAAATGAGATCCAACTTAACAGTCTGCTACAAGTAAACATAAATGATGTTACCATATTTTCTGTAGCAATAAATACTGGTGTCCCCTAAGGAAGCATTCTTGGCCCTCTCCTGTTCCTTCTCTGTGTCACAATAGCCTGCCAAATGCCAACCAACAACTCAAACTGACACCAAAACAGCCAGACTCTACCACACCAATTCCACTTGTCACAATTGTGCCACCACCTCCAGCTACGTCCATCTGCCTCACAACGCCTCCCAGAGGCCCTAGGTGTAAAACCAGTATTCTCTTCTGACAACAAAACTTTTGTCATTTCAAGTCTTGATCCTATTGTAACAGATAATATTACATATGAATATCTTAAAAAATATCCACACATGGATGATAACGAACAAATTTACACCTAATCTGGAAAAGACTTAAAAATAAATTGTTTGAGAAAATGAAGGTAAAATTCTAGGATTGCAAACTAAGTGCTAGGAGTGTAAGCTAAAATTCAATGCACATATCCAACACACTTCAACAAAAGTATAAAAAACTGTGGGTGTATTCTTAAAATTCAAATGTTATGTACCTACCTCATCTACACATCTAAACCAGTAATCATGCACATATCTTAAGGGGCCAAGAATCTGGAATGGTTTAAGAAGAAACCAAAAAACTGTGTAACAAAATAAATTCACACTACAACTCTTAATAAGTTTTTAACTAAATTCACTGTATGTCTTTTATGTCATGTAATATGTGTGATGTACTGTAATCATTATGTGCATGCAATACAGGAGGGCCCCACTTTACAGCATTTTGCAAATGCAGTGGTGTTCAATTATAACCAGTCTTCATTTATTCAGACTTGCTACAATAAATGTATTCACCACTCACTATAAGCTAAAGACAAAAATATTTTAAGGTAAGTAATATGTGTACTGTATATGTATATTTCTAGGCCAAGCTCTATTGCTCACTTAATATATGATATTGTATACATGTTATCAGGCTTTTATATGCATTTGACAGTGAAAAAAGGCTATGTTTCACTTTACAGTGATTTTTGCTTCATGGCAGTAGCCCGGAACCTAACCTGCTGTATAAGAGGGGCCCACCCGTATGTGTTATATATTTTCTGTTTTAACTGCTATCATATCCATTTTAAATGTAAGAAAAAACGTTTCTACAGTTTAGTCCTAGTTTAT